TGGATCTCTGAATTCAAGGCCAGCTTGATCTAAAAATAGAGTTCCAAGACAGCCAGGGCTTAGGGGGAAGGAGGGGACGACGTGAACACAATCCATTAATTTATACACGAGCTTAAATCAGTGTAAAGTTTTAAAATAAAATAAAATAAAACTCGTTTAGATTTAACTGTGAATGTGCTGGTGTGAGCCTATGGATGCCTACAGAGGCTAGAAGAGGGAGCAGGAGCTACAGGCTGTTGGGAGCTGCCTGTCTGATGTGAGTTCTGGAACTGAACTCCGTTCCTCTGAAAGAGCGGCAAACGCTCTTACCACCTAAGTCATCTCCCTAGCCCCAGTAAAACTCATGAAACCACTGCTCAGCCTTTGGACTAAGATCAAGTGCAGAATTAATACTAATTTAAAATTTTCATGAGAAATTGTGTTAATATCAACCTGTAACCCCAGCACTCCAGAAGCAGAGGCAGAAGGATCAGAAGTTCAAAGTTAGGCTCAACCACATGGAGGATTGAGGCCAGTCTGGGCCACATGAGACTGTCTCAGGAAGCCTAGAAGAAAGACAAGGAATAGACAAAATAAAAGGAAAAGCCTGACTCTTTTAGATTTTATTTAGGATACTTGCTTTCTCCATAGTTCAGTTGTTTACTTTTTTATATTTATTTTATTTCTTGTGTGTATGCATGTTTTGCCTGCACATCTGTGTGTGGACCATGTGTGTTCCTGGTGCTCTTGGAGGTCAGAAAAGGACACTGGGTCCCCTGGAACTGAAGTTACAGTTGGCTGTGAGTCACCATGTGGATTCTGGGAACCAAATCTGGGTCCTCTGCAAGAGCAACAAGTGCTCTAAACAGCTGACCCATTTCTCCAGCCTCCATAGTTTATACATATATAAAATATGACCTAGTCCTTAGTGTTGTAAGATGAGTAAAAAAGGCTTGTTAGGAAAGTCAAGCCTTGTGACCTAAGTCCTAACTCTGGAACCCACATGGAAGGAGAGAATTGACTCCTGAAAGTTGTCCTTTGACCTCTACACTTGTGCTGTGGTACATATACTCCCACTGCAAATAAATAAATAAATGTAAAGCAGTTTTCATAGAAAAGGGGGGCTGGCAAGATGACTCAGCACTTGTCACATAAGCCTATCTGATTTCTGTCTCCAGAACCTATGTAAAGGTAGATGAAGCAGATCACTCCATAAATGCTGTTCTGTGACATCTACACACATGCTATGGCACACCTGCACCGACTCCCCCATGTATATCACAATACACTAATAATAATAACTGTTTACAAAACAGCAAAAGGGCTGCTGCTATGGCTCAGAGGTGGAGTGCTTGCCCTGCATGCTCAAGACCCTCGGCTCCATCCCAAGTACCAAAACAAAAGCAGATAAACAGACCCAGTACAGAATTGAAAATTAGAGAATCAATCGAGATAATTTAGGGCTGAAGGCTCTGAAGCAAAGAGACGAAGAGGGAGGTTTAGCGGCCCCAAATATGAACTGAGAAGAGGAAAACAGAGTAGAAGGAAAGACCTACAGATCACAAGTCATAAAAATTGGGCTTATCCAGTTTCCCAAACCCAGATTCCATGGTGAAAGCTACTTTGGGTACTCTTGTTAGAGAGTCATCAGGATCAGTACAGAACTGAGAGATGAGTAACAGCATGGGATAAGGGAACAAATTCTTTTTCGGTGCATGCTTGCTTATTACTTCCAGCAGTTGAGCTAAGTAAAGGAACAGAACCAAGGAGCAAACAGTCCCCTCCTACCAACCACACCACCTATGCACTTTGCCCAAGACTGTTATCATTCCTGGCAAAACCCAGCCTCATCGTCATATCACAGCCCGGCTTCAGCAGGAAGTGCCATAATAGATGTACTCATTTTGTTCAATAAATAGTCACTGTCCACTAGCTACGTGTTAGCTACTTTATTAGGTGTTGCATATACAGAGATGAACAAAATATATCTCTGGTTAAGGAACTTGCTGCCGAACATGATGGCCTGAGTTCAATTCCCAGAACCCATGTGATAAGAAGGAAAGAACCAACGCCTGAAAATTGACCTCTGACCTTCACACAAATGCCATGGTACATGCTCATTCGTACAATAAGTAAATGTAATTTTAAATATGCTATAGAAAAGAAAAGGCGAGTTCCCTCTCCTTCACTCTGTGTGTGTGTGTGTATAGATATATGCAAATCGATATTGACCATTGCTTTAAAGAAAAACCAGATTCTATGCAAGGGTGATATTCAAAACCTGTCTCTGGGTGCACATTGTAAGCACTGACCCATCAAAACAGATGTCAGTATAATTTGAATGAAGACGGAACAATGTTATTTGTCTCAGTAGGAAGCAGAATAGAATAGAACTGATGCTTTTATGCAGGGAATAAACTTGTAGGCTCCAGAGGCAATTGATCTGGGCCACTGAGGTCTCTGGTGTTATACTTGAGGCAAGAAGATGAAGAATTGGCACAGCCAAGGAGGGAGCGAGAGAACACTTGAGGCGAGGGAACAGCATGTGAGGGCCAGAAGGCCCTTCTCCCTCAGGCTGTCCCATCTTAGAGTCATGGGCAGTGAGTAGGTAATAAGTTGCCTATGAACTAGGTCAAGGAGGTAGTAAGGGCAGGGACAGAATGACAGCAAGGCATACCAGGACAAGATGTAAGCAGAGTCACAGGAATGCCTGGGCTTTGTTTGTAAAAGCAAAGGAGTTTGTTCCCATAAAAAGATGCCATAAAAATCAAAATGCCGTTACAGCAGGGAAGAGAAGAGAGCAACCTAACAGGAATGGTCGGAGCACAGCGGAAGGAAAAAGAGCCGCTTCATCGTGTACTCGGGGAGCCAGGTGTGGGAGTTCACACTTGTAACCTCAGCATTCTGGAGGCTGAGGCCGGGGAAAATCAGGAGTTCAAGGGCAGCCTGGGCTACCCAGTGAGATCCTGTCTCAAAAACAACAACAACAAAAGAAAGCTGGGTGGCAGAAGCTTACACCTTTAATCCCAGCCCTCAGGAGGCAGAGCCAGGTGGATCTCTGTGAGTTCGAGGCCAGCCTGGTCTACAGAGCAAGACCCAGGACAGGCATCAAAACTATACAGAGAAACCCTGTCTCAAAAAAGCAAAAGAAAGAAAGGAAGGAAGGAAGGAAGGAAGGAAGGAAGGAAGGAAGGAAGGAAGGGAGGGAGGAAGGGAGGAAGAAAGAAAGAGAGAGAGAAAGAAGGAAAGAAAAAAAGAAAAAAGGAAGGAAAAGAGAAAGGAAGAAGAGGGAAGGAAAGAAAGGAAAAAGAGTAAAACAAAAGAAAAAATAGTGGTGGGGAGAAGACAATAGAAGTACTTTTTTTTTTAACGGACATTAATGCAAACATTCAGCTTTAACAAAAATAACACTAAAAAGTGATAGAGAGTTGGAGGCCAGCCTGGGCTGCAGAGTGAATTCCAGGACAGCCAGGGCTACACAGAGAAACCCTGTCTCTAAAAAGAAGGAAGAGGAGGGGAGATAGAGAGAGAGAGAGAGAGAGAGAGAGAGAGAGAGAGAGAGAGAGAGAGAGAGAGAGAGAAGAGGAGTTACAACTGCTTGTCGAGTTAGTAAATTGTCCTCCACAGAAACAGAATGTCCCCATGGACAGGTAAATGTATCTGTGACTGCTGTTGGCAACTTGTTGCAAACATTTTAAAAATCAACATAACTGAGATTTTTGTCCTCACATATAGTACATGTTTTTTTTTTTTTTTTTGTTTTGTTTTTGTTTTTGTTTTTCGAGACAGGGTTTCTCTGTGTAGCTTTGCGCCTTTCCTGGAACTCACTTGGTAGCTCAGGCTGGCCTCGAACTCACAGAGATCCGCCTGGCTCTGCCTCCCGAGTGCTGGGATTAAAGGCGTGCGCCACCACCGCCCGGCTACATGTTTTGAGTGTAGAGTTCAATGAGTTTTGACAAATTATTTGCTTTGATGGACAGCATTAAGATCACTTGGAATTATACAGATCAAAGCATTTAACAAAAGATGCCGGTTATGAAAATGGAAATAAGGGATTCTGAGAAATAGCCAAATACGGACAGGTGGAGACAGCTGGGATTTGTGCTGGGGTCTGAAAGCAATAGGATCTGTAGCTCTGAGATGCCTGGCAACTTCAAGGCACCTTCTAGTCAGGAGTAGTGACTAACACCCATAATCCCAGCACTTGGAAGACAGAGGCAGGAGACTCGCTAGTGAGTTCAGCAAAAGTAATCTACATAGCGAAAAACAAAAACAGAAACAAAAGGGAGGGGAAAGCACCTTTTGAAGGAGCCAGCTGCCGGTTTAGCCACTTTCACTTACGTTTATTAGGTCACGAAGTGACAATTGGGATTGAGTTGTGGCTTTCTGCACTGCAATTCTTTTTGCTACCAACTACGCCCCACATCCCCACCCACCGATAGGCGAGGCTCCAACCCCAGCCAGCTAGGCTTCCAGGACAGAGGCACCCATCCACCTGGCTTTACAACCTCTCTAAGTCCCAATTAGAAACTGCATTGGGATCCGCCTCAGCAGACGCACCACCGCGGCGGAAAAAGAAAAAGCACTGCACTTGGTCCCTCTTGGGGTCTGCCATCCTCTGGTCCCCTGAGTCCCTCGGGCTCAGGGCCTTGGAGGCATAAATGACTCAATCCGCCTACCGACCAGTCTCGATCTCCCTCCCCGTGGGACTTAAACCCTCAAGTGGTTTCAGGTTCATTTTTTACTTAGAGACCGCGATTCTGAATTCAGAGTGGGGAAACTGAGACAGAACAAGGGATTCTGCCTGACGGGTCAGACCCTGGAGGCAGACTCTGGATACCCTTTGAAAAGCCCAAGACTGCCCAAGCCAAACCAAGAAGAAACCACTTGGATCCGGGCAGGCAGCCGGGAAGAGCAAGGCACCGCCCACGCGGCTGGGGAAACTTTGGGGTGGTGCCGGGGGCGGGGTCCTGGTGGAGGGCGGGGCAGACCCGGAGGGCGGGAGTGCCAGCCTAGGCTTGCACAGCAGAGGTGGCAGAAGTGGCCCTCGCCTGTGGTCTCGGTTCTGCTTGTGCGCGACTTTGGCACCATGGAGGGGACCCAAGAAGCTCTGAGTGGGAAAATGCGGCTCCTTTTCACCCCTGCTGCTCGGACCAGCCTCCTGATGCTCAGGCTCAACGAGGCGGCGCTACGGGCACTGCAAGAGTGTCAGCAGCAACAGGTGCGGCTGGCCCCCAACCCCTTCTTCCCATCCCGATCAACCAGACCTCGGCCTCAGCTCGCTATACTGGAGAAGGGGACGGGGAGGAGCAGCTTACTCAGGTTCCAACCACCCCCATCTCTCCAAGTGAAGCCCGCCAGGCAGGTGTCCGCAGCCCCCACCCCCAATCCTGGGAACTTGGCTTCCTTTGTGCTCAGCTGGTGCTTGGGCTCTTCCCGCAGGTACGGCCAGTGATCGCTTTTCAAGGCCACCGAGGGGTAAGTGCAGACCGGATGTGTGAGGGAGGCTGGGGGTGAGGGAGCATAAGCGTGGGCTCCGGGAAGGTGCGCTCTGGGCCGGAGCTTGCCAGTGGTCACGGTCTGAGGAAGTTATGAGAACTGAACCCTAAGAGGGTGAGGGGCTGATGGGGCTGTGGTCCCAGGAGGCTGAGCATTCTTAGCCTCTTGGGGAACTCTGACCCAGCTGCACCTGGTGTGCTAACAAGCCCCTTGGGATGTCTTAGACTTGTTTGGGGAGGCGTGGCATGGGCAGGAGGAGGAGGAGGGGCCGACTTAGCTGGGCTTACCATCTCCTTCTACCCCAGTATCTGAGGCTCCCAGGCCCTGGATGGTCCTGCCTCTTCTCCTTCATAGTCTCCCAGTGTGGCCAAGAGGGCAGTAGTGGTGGCTTGGACCTTGTGTACCAACGCTTAGGCAGGTAAGAGAAAACAGATAACAGGTAAGAGAAATTCGCAGACAGTGGGAAGGAGGGGAATGTGAAGACGTGTTCAAAAGATCTTCAACCCATTTTTCTGTTGTTTTCCCCACCACTTCTTTCCAGATCTGGGCCTAACTGTCTCCACTGCCTGGGCTCCCTGAGAGAGAGACTCACTATTTGGGCAGCCATGGATACTATCCCAGCTCCACTGTTAGCTCAGGAACACCTGACTGAAGATCCCAGAGAGTCTGAGAGCTGGCAGGACACAGGAGATGAATCTGAAGGCCATCCCCAGAGAGCACTAGAAGAGGTGAGGCCAGAAACAGCAGGGGGTCAGCATAAGGTGGGGCGCCCAGATCCAGGGAGCCAAGTGTTCCTATAACTTCCCCTGACAGGTGTCTGACCCACTGGCAAGCAACCATGGACAGTCACTCCCAGGATCCTCCAGTGAGCCCTTGGCACAATGGGAAGTGAGGTACTGGGTCAGGCTGGGTCTGCTCTCCACCCTTACATGCTATAAGTAAAATATAGGCCCATGTCTCACCCTGGTCTCTCCCATTCCTTCCCCAAATCCTAGGAACCACACCTATCTTCCAAACAGAGAGCAGGACCAGCCACTGCCTTCCCCTGCCAGCCAGAAATGCCTGGACAAGGTAAACAAGACTTCATTCCCTTTTTGAAGACTGGATCTCACTGTATAGCTCTGGCAGGCCTGGAACTCCTTATGTAGAACAGGCTGGCCTCGGATTCAGAGATTCACCTGTCCCTGCTTCCTGAGTGCTGGGATTAAAGGCATGCACCAACATGTCCAGAAAGGCAAGAGCTTTTCAAATAGTCGTCTAAAAGGCTGGGGATGTAGCTTGGTGGATGCAGGACTGATACAGCATAAAATCTGGCACATGCCTATAAGAGAGGTCTCCAGAAAAGGAGGGTCAGCACAAGGCCAGGCATGCTCTGCTACACAGCATAGTGAGTCTGAGGCCAGCCTGGACGACCAGCCTAAGGTCTGGTCTCAAAAAAACCCCAAACAAAAACAAACAAAACCGGCTGGGGAGATGGCTTCTCAAGTGCATCTACTGTGCGAGCATAAGGACTGTACCTATGTAAAGGCCGGGCAATGTTTCCTGTCCTGTAACTCCAGCACGGAAGGGGGTGGGGGGTAGAGACAGGTAGATCCTGGGAGCTTGCTGGCCAGCCAGCCTAGGAAAAATAGAGCTTTAGGCTTAGTGCAAGAATCAGGCAGAGAGTGATGTAGGACATCCCATGTCCTCCATGGGGTGCATACCAGCACATACACAAGAATACTTTTTAATTGGGTAAAACTTAGGAACGTAGGAGCTGATGAATTCGCAGTTTTTAACAGGAGTAAGAACTTTCTAGCTTGCTGTGTATGTCACAGATTTTTCCCCCCACAGAAACGTTCAGCACCTATAACCACTGAAGAACCAGAGGAAAAGAGGCCCAGAGCTTTGCCTCTAGTCGCAAGTCCACTACAAGGCCTATCAAATCAGGAATCACAAGAGGGAGGAGACTGGGTGCAAGATGAAGATGGAGATAGAGATTCTAGGCTGGAGCAGAGTCTCTCGGTTCAAGCAGGTGAGTTCAGGAGAGGAGGGGAAATACCAATGGGAAACAAGACCCATACTTACTTGTTCTCTTCCTTCCTTCCTAGCCTCTGAATCCCCAAGCCCCGAGGAGGTACCAGATTATCTCCTGTGAGTTGCCCCCACTTTCAGTTTCATAGTTTGTACATGTAAACATCCAAGGGTTTTTTAGGGGCAATGAAACTGAGGGTGTCACCTTCCCTGGCAGGCAATACAGAGCCATCCACAGCGCAGAGCAGCAGCAGGCCTATGAGCAGGACTTTGAGACAGACTATGCTGAATACCGAATCCTACATGCCCGCGTCGGGGCTGCCAGCCAAAGGTTCACAGAGCTGGGGGCGGAGATCAAGAGACTTCAGCGAGGAACTCCGGAACACAAGGTAAAGGCAGGACTCTAGCCTGCTGCTAATTACCCCCAAACATGTTTGTTTAGTGACTAAGCAAAGGGACAAGCAAACCTGTTGTAATATTTGGTAGAATGAAATCAGAAGTTACTCCCATTTCTTACTTTTTCCTCCTTTCCCTTCCCTCCAGTTTTGAATCAGCGTTATTTTTGTTTCAGGTGCTAGAAGATAAAATAGTCCAAGAGTATAAAAAGTTCAGAAAGGTAAGCCAGGCTGCGAGCAGAGGCAGTAAGGTAGAAGTCACTTTACTTTTTGACAAGAGTGCTTTTTCTCTGCAGCGGTATCCAAGTTACAGGGAAGAGAAGCATCGCTGTGAGTACCTGCATCAGAAATTGTCCCACATTAAAGGTCTCATCCTGGAATTCGAGGAAAAGAACAGAGGCAGCTGAAACTACCCAGGACTCTTAGCCTGTCCCCAGTGATGAAAGGAACAGCTCCAAGGTGGAGCACATCTGCTTTTCTGATTTTGACCCTTCCGTCCATGGTGGCAAGTAGAGTCATGCTAGGTTACTGCAGTTGGACTTCATTGTTGCCGTACATTTCTAGGGTGTGGGCAGTCAAGTCTCCTTGGCTGTGCCCAGCAGACTAGGAAAGTAGCAGACACTTGGCTTCTTCAACTTTACTTCAGCTGTTTTCAGATCCTGAAAAATGACATTTCCAGGTCGACACACACTTTGGGGACGTTGGACAAGTGAGTTTAGCTGAGTGGCCTCGCAGGAACAAAATGAGAACCTCTGGTGTTATAGCATACCTAGATGTAAGGGAAAGGGCTCAGTGTTGCTCGTGTACTGTAACATGGCTGAAAAATGAAAACCAATTGCTTGTGTCTTGTGTGATCATTAACCTTCATCATCCAAGGCAGTGCTGTGTATCTGACTTCCTTTGAGACTCTCTGAGTCCCCATGTTCCAGCCCAAGTGTTATGAACTGGAGTCTCCAAGATTATGGTCATCTTTACTGTGCTCATATCGGCTAGACATATGCTCTACCTACCACTAAGCAACACTACCTTTCCCCACCCCCAACATGTTTTTAAAACATTATGTATGATCCAGATGTACATTTTGTTATCAGGCTTTACCAAAAACATACTGAAAAAACAGGGATTATACTAATATGTTTCATTTTGTGTGTTTAGAGTCACATAGAATTAAAGCTTATATATCTAGAATTATCCAGGGCTGAAAGTTACAATTATGGACAGGAGTCTGATTTAGCTATAGATGGCCCTATTTTAATCCATTAAAAAAAATAGATCTTGTAGGCTCTTGTTCTTGTCAGTGATGATGTGTTTTCTTGTTTCACTGGGAGGGAATTAATGGCTGCACGCAGCAGTATCAACAATTCCTCCAACAAAATGGATGGAACCCCAAACCGATGTCACACTCGAACAGGGCATTTCTGGGCAGGACAATCCTCAGGAGCTTGGCTTCGTGGCAAAGATAAGCAGTATCTTATGAACATGAACAAGGCCAGAACAACTGTAATTTCAGTATCTTGGGGCTGAGCAGGGAGGACTGTCACAAGTTCAAGGTCAGTCTGGGCTGCAGACGGAGACTGAGAAATTAAGATTTAGAGATGGGAACTGGACCTAGTCAGTCTGAGGCTACAGGGATCAGCGTAGCAAGTAGTACTTAAATTTTTTCGAGATCTCATATAGCTCAAGATGCTAGCCTCAAACTTGCTACAAAGCCGAGGATGACCTTCAACTTTGAAAGTTCTATAGTAACAGTTTAGAGACCCCGATTCTCTCTTCCATGAAGGGAAAAAAACGACAGTATAAAGGGGGCACATTTATTGTCACTGTTCCAAATGTACAAAAAAAATTAGAAAATAACCCCCAACTCAATTCCCCCCACCCCCAGAACATTCTTCCCAACACAAATAATTTTCTCCCCAAACCACAAACATAAACTGGTCCTGGTGTTTTCATCAACAGTGCAGCTAAGAAACAGTTTAGAGAAAGCTGAACAGGATTCAGAGGATGTCCACTCTGTCCTCTCCGATGGCTCCGCCATCTCTGGTGTAAGAGTCCTTTTACAAAGTGGTGTGTTTGGCTGTTGCTTAGAGGTCCTCTTGTGCCTTCTTCTTCTTCTTGGGTTTTTCTTCTTGAATTATAGGGGGGTTTGTAGCTTCTCGTTGTAGATAGCTAATAAAATCATTTAGTTCACGGCCACCCTGAAAAAAGGAAGGTGATTTTAACTTTTTAAAGAACTCTAGTAAAAGGCCAGTCAGATGGCTTATTGGGAATTTGATCCCAAATGGTCAGAGGCGAGAACTCCCCAAAACTGCCCTCTAACTTTCACACACACATATCTACTACCACAAATAAAATGTAAATAAATAGGCCAATCAAAGAACTAGGTATTGCCGGGCGGCAGTGGTGCCCTTCTTTAATCCCAGCTCTTGGGAAGGAGAGCCAGGAGGATTTCTGTGAATCCAAGGCCATCCTGGTCTACAGAGCGAGCTCCAGGACAGGCACCAAGAACTACACAGAAAAACCCTATCTCAAAAACAAAAACAAAACAAAACACCTAGGTTATTGGCCGGATGGTGGTGGCACACGCCTTTATTCCCAGCACTCGGGAGGCAGAAGCAGGCACATCTCTGTGAGTTCGAGGCCAGCCTGGTCTACAGAGTGAGTTCCAGGACAGCCAGGAATACACAAAGAAACTGTGTCTAAAAAAAAAAAGAAAAAAAAAAGAACTAGGTATCATGGCTGGAGAGATCTTAATGATTAAGAGCACTGGCTGCTCTTCCAGAGGACGTAGGTTCAATCCCCACCACCTACACCTACATGGCACCTCACAACTGTCTGTAACTCCAGTTCCAGGGTATCAGACACCCTCAGAAGTAAAACACCAACGCACATAAAAAGAAATAAATCATTAAAAAAAAAAGTGTGTGTGTTTTGGGGCAATGGGACAATGCACTTACTTCATACTTCTTTGGAGTTAGCTTCTTGTTGGCTGGTGAGAAGTAGATGGTAGGAAAACTAGGAAAAAGAAAAAATTTCACCAATTTCAGGTCTCAGAGCAATCCTAACATCTACCTGCCCAGCAGTGTTCTGAGAATCCCCTTTCTTTGAGGTTTCTAATCTGATCGGGTGTTAACTCTCCATGAGTGCCTAAATTATACTTTTTATTTCTCTAAATTAAATTACAAGAGATCACAAGATTTCTGGGAGTCATGCTGGAGTTTTTAGAGATCTAAGAAATTCATGTCCCCCAAACTATAGTCAGCATGGAAATGGTTTATGGTAACTACTCAGGTGGCTGAGGCTAGGTTAGTCTGAATTCAGGAGTTTGAGGCCAGCCTAGGCAACAAAGTAAATTCCATCTCTAAACAAAAACTCCTTTTCACCAACTTACCCTTTGACTTCATATGGAGAAGGCACATCGTTGGCTGTGGCATCCATCTTGGCTATAACAATATTTGGGTCTTTGCTGAGCTGTTAATAAAAAAGGTTACACATTTAAGCCGGGCGGTGGTGGCGCACGCCTTTAATCCCAGCACTCGGGAGGCAGAGCCAGGCGGATCTCTGTGAGTTCGAGGCCAGCCTGGACTATCAAGTGAGTTCCAGGAAAGGCGCAAAGCTACACAGAGAAACCCTGTCTCGAAAAACCAAAAAAAAAAAAAAGGTTACACATTTAAAAAAAAAAAAGTCAACAATCAAGACCTTAATCTGTAATCCCAATTCTGAAAAAACTGAGGCAGGAGTATTGCCCCCAAACTCCAGGCTGTCCTAAGCTAAGGCATGAAACCCTACCTCAAACATACATGCACATTCTTACACACTCCCTTCTATACTTGGAGACAGAAACAGGACCGTCGCAAGTTCCAGGCTAGCCGAAGGCACACAATCAGAACTTCATTCAAAATACTTGCTACCAGCCCGGGCCTACTGGCCCATGCCTTTAATCCTAGCACTTTCGAGGCAAAAGCAGACAGATCTCAGAGTTTGAAGAAAGCCTGGTAAAGCTTTCAGAAACAGGTACTTACTGATTTATGACTTAGACAATGGTAGCCTTTTACCTTTATACGTTTTATTTAAAGATTTTGCTTAATCGAGAAGAACACAGACTTAGCTCCTAATCTCCTGTTTCTCTTAAGAATTGGTTCTTATAGAAGACTATATATAAGGCCAAGCCTAGTCCTTCCATGTGGGAGGCTGAGCACACACATGCTCAGGCTGCTCTTAGACTATACAACAAGACCCTATCTCAAAACAAAACACTAAGACTACATATAGCCTCATTTAAATTTACCTGGCTTGGACTACATTACAAGAGAAAAACACCATGCTTTTTAAAATGAAGGACTGCTGCAAGCCACAGGAAAATATAATGGAAATCAGCTACTATCACAAAAGCTACTACTTGGAAAAGTCAAGGACTTCTCCAAAGGTCAAGCCATGGTTTAAGAAGTCTTAGTGATATTTTAGCTTTTGTATATATAGATATTAGCTAGTTCCTAAAATGATTTTCTTGTGTGTTTCCAAGAACTACTAACAGTGTATTTATCTAAAATACCTATCAAGCATCCAAGCCCAAATGAAACAACACCTGTCCCCTAGGTCAGGCAGATAGCTTTATTGTGCAATTTAGGGTGAGACCCCCCTTCCTTACAGCCTTATTACTAATAGACTCCTAATTTCTTACCTAACCACTTCTAGGAATGTAGATTGAGCATATAAATTCCCTTCTTGATATACTAACTGATCATTAGCTCTCTATTGACCTCCTCCTTTATCACCCTTCTTTCGGGTTGTAAAAGAAAGCCTGGTGGTCACTGCCTGAAGAAAATTCTTACCCGCTTTTATGACTCCATAAGAATTCAAGCCCGGTGACCTTGCTCTTCAAGAGGATTGCTATTGCTTGGGTTTACAACTGGATTCGTGAGAGACTTAGAGAAGACTGAGAGAATGAGACGGAGAGGAGAGAGAGGAAAAGAGAATGGAAGAACTAGATGGGTAAGAGCTGGAGAGGAACGGACTAGATGGGAAGAACTAGATTGAAGGGCTAAAAGAGAGTACCAGAGGAACAAGATGGAGGACGAGGAAGAGCCAGATGGGGAAGAACAAGATGAGAGGGAAGGAGATGGGAGAGGAGCTGATATGGGAAAGAACTAGATGGATGAGAACCTAGATGGGGCAGAGCTAAGATGAAGGAATTAAGATAGAACTTAGAGGAGACAGCAGATAAATGCAGACAGAAATTAGGCAAGAAAGGAGCTAGGCACGAGGGCAGAATAGAAGCTGTAGAGCGAGAACTAGCTCAAAAGAATAAAGTGTGTATATAGATTCATTTCCTATCATCAAAGATTAATTATCAGCTGGTTGTACATTCTTCCTGGACCCTGGGAGGGGACTATGGAGGGGCCGGACCCTCCCCTAGTCCCCAATAAAGGACTATACGAATTCAGAAGTCATCACCAAAATTCAGATGACCCCAGACATTTGTAACCATGATGTAGAATGAGCCTGATTTGTGTTAAGTTGGCTATCTGTGAAATTTTCTAAAGGCTAAGAGGCAGTCAAGAGCAAACATGTAAACAATAGTTTGGGGAAAAAAAATACCAGTATTTAGGAACTAATTAAGTCTATGCTTAAAATATATATAAACTTCCAGCTCAATTTTATATTCATAGACGGTTCAGACTTACTTTCTCTCCCAATTCTTTATATTTGGGTTCCAGATTCTTACAGTGACCACACCAAGGGGCATAAAATTCAATCAGCACATCCTTATCTTCATTATTCACTATGTCATCAAAATTTTCTGCTACCACAACCTGGAAAACAGAAGATTCTCTAGTCATAAGAAAGCTGAGAAACAAAGCCTCAAGCTCACTCACCCCAACTTGTATCACACCATTTACACACTCATAATCATGTTGTTATTCCCCATTAGCCAGATTTTCCTCACATCTATCCCTGTAAAACTATGTTTAGGAAGTCACAGGAAATAAAAAAACAAATGCTACTGAGCGGTTTTCTTTCTTTTAAAAAATTTGCCAGGCGGTGGTGGTGCACGCATTTTTTAATCCCAGCACTTGGGAGGCAGAGCCATGCGGACCTCTGTGAGTTCGAGGCCAGCCTGGTCTACAGAGTAAGATCCAGGACAGGCACCAAAACTACACAGAGAAACCCTGGGGGGGGGATGCAAAAAAACCCAAAACAAACAAACAAACAACAACAACAACAAAAAAACAACAACTTTACTCATGGGGTTAGAGAGATGGCTCAGTGGTTGAGAGCATTGCCTGCTCTTCCAAAGGACCTGGGTTCAATTCCCAGCACCAACTTGGCAGCTCACAACTGTCTATAACTCCAGTTCCAGGGAATCAGACACCCTTTACAGATATACATGCAGACAAAACACCAATGCACATAAAACAAAAATAAAAACCCCACAAAACCCTTTACTCATTGTGTGTATATATGCATAAATATGGACTTTATAGAGTTTATTCTCCTCTCTCTTTCCACTGTTACGTGGGAACAAGTCTTCAGGCTTTTGCAGCAAAGTGCTTTCCCCATGGAGCCACCTCTTGGACCCATAATGGTTTTCTTAGCTGGGGATATAGCTCAGTGGTAGAATACTTGTTTAATATGGGTTTGGGCCCCAGCATTAAAAACAAAGAAATGTCAATAAGGTATGTGT